GAAGCACAAGCTCAGTCACACTTATTTTCTTCAAAGTAAAGGTTTTGGCTTTAAAAAAAACCCAAACATAAACCTGCCTCAATATGTTTCTTAGCAGTATTGAAAAGCCACCAGATTCAAACATCCTTCCCCAACACCTGTAATACTTTTGAGTATGTGGTTTTATTGCAAATAAACATGATTTTCATCACTCATAAAAACTCCTAATCTTCTTTTTCTACCAGGACATGCTTAAAGCATTTGACAGCTACAAAGCAGTGTTGCTTTCTGCCAACCTGAGCAGCAAAGAGTTCCAGAAGGCAGACAGCACAGAGTTCAAGGAGCTGCAGAACAGGCTTCGGAAGGTCAACTTGCACTGGGAGAAGGCAAATCGTGCACTGGACAGCTGGAGGAAGGGTTTGCAGCAAGCCTTGCTGCACTGCCAGGTACATCCCACATGCCAGCTTGGAAGGGAAAACCCTTTGGGATTCTATGGAGGAGAGGGCAGAGGGGTAATCCCTGCACATCAGTGGAATGGTCACTCACAATTCAAGGCACTTTGTTTCCTGATAAAGTTGCCTCTGATGGATTGAAACGGTTTGGTAAAAATATCTTTGAAGTGGATAATGCCCTTTACTACATAGGTGGAATACTTTAGCAAAGTTTCTGTACTCTCACTAATTGTGAATTTGTAGGTGAAGGCTCTACAAAGGTGTTTTTCCTCTTATGGGCAAATCTTTTTGTTTCTGTAGGATTTCCATGACCAGAGCCAAAAGCTGATCCTGTGGTTAGCAAGTGCTGAAAGCCGGAGGAATGAGGCACAAATCACAGATCCCAATGCTGATCTCAATACAATACTGGAATGCCAGAAGGAGCTGATGGTGAGTGTAGTCTTACCTGCAGCACCTCACTCTCAGCACACTCTGAAGAGCAGGATGTTTGTGTCTCACAGTGTCTGCAGCCTCTCCTCAGACCTGCTGTACTCAGGCATGTGGGTGGCTTTTGAAATGGACCAAGATATTGCGTCTACAAGGCACTTCTCCATAATTACCATAATAAAGTTACTTATGAGAAGTCTTTATGCTGAAGCAAGACTTCCAATTTCCAAAATTTAATGTCTACTCTATATGAATTACCTCCTGCCAGAACTATTTTTAAATGTTAGTTCAAACAGGTACAACCAGTCTCTTCAAGAGAACTTCATTTCCTATGTAGCTGTAATAACCATTCCTGTGCCTTGTTGGTTCTCAGGCAGGTTGTGTTGTTCTTTAAAGTCTTCCAGAGTTTCTCCTTTTGGGAGAACATCCATAAAGTGGAGGGTAACAGTCTGTTGTGCTGTTTTTTGTTTATTCTCAGCAACTGGAGAAAGAGCTGCTGGAGCAACAACTTAATGTGAACTCCCTCCAAGAGCTCACTGCTTACCTGCTGCTGAAATCAGATGGTGATTACATTGAAGAGGAGGAGAAGGTCCATGTAATTGGAACAAAACTGAAACAGCTGATTGAACAAGTCTCTCATGACTTAAAAACAATACAAGGGAATCTGGTGAGTTGGAATTTAAATACTTGTTTGTGGATCTTCCTTACTGAAAAGAAATAGCATATTAAGAGTGAAAGTATTTATTAAAAAACTGACTTAATGTTAAAGTAATTCCACCTTGATAGGCTGAAAAAAGAGCAGTTCTGGCTGTAGGAACAACTCCAGCACCCCAAGGCTGGTACAGTTTATAACAGAGGGGTTGTGCTGCCTCTGTCATCAAGGGGCTTGAAGAGCAGAGAGCATACAGCTCTGAGTAAGGCTTTTGGCAGGAGGTTGGACCAGATGAACTTCCTGAAGTCCCTTCCAACCTGAATTTGTGTGATCCAAACCAGGTACCAGGCTAGGAGTGTGTAATGAACATGGAGGAGTTGAAGGTCTTAGCAATGGGTTGCTTATCCTGAGGCCTGTCAGAGATATTTCCAAGTTAATTCCTGTATGCACCCATTCCATTGCAATTCCTTCATGCTGGGCATTGTAAATTTCTTTATTCTGGGGGAGACTGATTATTCTCATGTGAAGGGGCAGTGGGCTGTGCACCTACAGAGGCAGTGAAAGGTGGTGTTATCTTTCAGGATACCAAAACATTCCTGCTAGTTCCAGATGACTTGGACTCAGGAGTCTATAATACAGAAGAAGAGAAATCCAGCCCTGCTGTGAAGAAGGCAAGTACTTTTTTTCTAATATTTTGCTATCAGCATATAGTGTATTTTGACATATTTAGTGTGGAAGTTCCTCAAGTATAATCATTTTACCTTTTAGGTCCATGTATCTTATTACAGTATTTAGAATCAGACCTTAAAGTCTACAGCTGTCTTTTCAGGGAAATTCCTTGTAGTTTCTGAAACCTGGATACTAAAAGCTATTTCTCTCAACAGATGTCCCTCAGGAGAACAGCTGATGGCAGGAATGGCAGCAGCACAAGGTAATATTCTATATAGGCCTAATCTCTTGATAAACAGTGTATATGGCAGAGATGAGCTGTGTGCCAGCAGAAACCTGGGCAGCTGTTCCTTGCAGGGTGACCCATGGGTGGAGGTGATTTTTGCCTTACCTGTAGAGTCCCCTGTACCTACCAGCTCTGGGCTGCTCCTTAGGGAGTGGTTTTCTTCAGCACTCCTGCTCCAGGATCTCTGCAGTGATGTGCAACCCTGGCTTGAGAAAATAGTTTTTCTGCCAAGTGGGGTTATTTTAGGTTTAAATCCTCCTTTGATTCCACCAGCATGCCTGGAATAAGAAACTTGCCCCTGACAGCCACTTGATCCAAACAGATCATGAAGGACAGAGGGAGAACTTAACCCCCAGTCCAGTGGGGTCTGTTCAAAGGGTAGATCTCAGTAAGCCAGGGCAGAGAAGAACCTCATCAGTGTGGATAATGTGCTTCAACACCTATTTGGAATGGTGCGTTTGCCTCCTGGGAAAAGTTAAGTTAAAGTTTGTTTGTGAAGTAAACGTTAAGTTTGTTTCCTGAAATTAGGGTAAAAAACAACTTGTTTAACTCAAACCCTGAAGTGCCTGTTGTTCTTTGTTTCTCCTTTCCAGGAGCGAAAGCCATTCAGAGCCTGTGCAGGCAACCCCTCGCTCTCCCTCCTTCTTCTACCGAGTGTTGAGAGCAGCTTTACCCCTGCAGCTGTTCTTCCTGCTGCTTCTGCTGCTGGCTTGCATGATCCCCTCCTCTGAGGAAGACTACAGCTGCACCCAGGCCAACAACTTTGCCCGCTCCTTCTACCCCATGCTGCGCTACACCAACGGGCCCCCGCCCACCTAGGGCAGCCTGCACTCTCACTCAACACTCTTGGCTGGTGCTTTTTTCTCCCATGCTGCTCTAGCATCAATCAAGCAGTGAGTTTCACATCTCAAAATGTATATCTTGACAGAATTTCAGCGTTTTTTGTACGGGAAACAAAACTTTTTCTATAGATTTTTTTTAAACTGTAAGCAACACACTTTATACTTTGATGCAATAGATACACTATTTTGTAGGGGCAGTGCTCTTGAGTTTGCAAGGTGTTTGGATACTGAGTTCTTAGATGCAGAAATGATATCACAGTAATGTTAAACATAGCAGTCTGTCTTGGGTGAGCATGACAAACAAGCAGGTGAAGAGGGACTTCATTGAATATGATTTCTGCACACACACACACTTCACATTACTTGTATCTTTTGGTACTGTAGTCACTTGGTGGAAGCAAAAAAATTGCATATTTTTGAATCTTTGTTGTTGTATTTTATTCATCTAACACATTCAATATCATGATGCACATTTGTTTTGTTTGACATAAAGTGTTCTAGTAGTTAGGACTGCTGTGTTGTCTTTTTATACCACCTTTGAAATAAGGAATTGCTGCATTGCATGGAAATGGTTTATAATGCACATATTTTCTAGATGAACATGATTATGTAGACTATCCCTGATGTATACAAATAGTGCAATGACTTTTTTAATGAAAGTTTTTTTTTCAGTTTTTAACCTGCTGAATAGTGTACAGTACCTTGGGAGAGAATTGTGCATTTTTATAAGCTTTGTTTTTAAAATGAAACTGGCGTATGGGCAGTGGCTGGAGAAACACTGTGTACAGTCAGCATTGCCACTGCCCCTCTGTTGTACAGTTTGAGTACTGTCATTAAAATTTTGCCAATGTCTGCAGGACTCTGGGTGTGTCTAGGGGGGGGACCAGCTTCATGTTCCAGCAGTGCTGCCCCTCACACTCCTGGAAGAGTCCATTTCTTTGCCTGCTAAAGGAGTGGTGCTGGAAGAAGCACAACCCCTCCCTTGCTTGTCAGAGCAAGAGATCACAAATGCAGCAGTGGGACCTGTTCCATGGCACACATCCTTCCCTTTGGAATTGCTTTCCTGGAGGAAGAACACAAAGCTGAACCAATTCATGCTTATTACTGGTTTGAAATGCTGAACTGTTTCCCACTCTGGAACTGACTTTCTACAGTGGGAGTGCTGGAGTGGGAAATGCATGTGGGGGAGAGCTCAGTTCAGTAGTAAGGGCTTTGGTGAACAGCTTTTTGTGTGTGGCAGTGAAAATGACCCAGGAATTAGCCACTTTCTGCAGTGCTTACCCATGGAAAATAAGATCTCTGATTCGCCTCTGAGAATTCTCCCACCCTTTCTACACTTGTCACCACTGGTAGTTGCTGATTCCCCCTGGTGGAGGGCTTTATAAAGCAAACTGCTTTGTCCTCATGGTCAGAGAATGGCCAAACCAGCAGCTTTTTCCCAGCCATGGTGGCACACCCACTGTGGTTTATTTCCAGGACATGATACTAAACTCATAGGGCTGAGTTGAGGAGCCAGGCTCGTGCTCTCACACTGGGGCTGTACCCAGAGATGGGTCCCTCTCACTGCACACAGCCACACACACTGTCCTCTCTCACTCTGCAATCATTATTTGATATTTTCAAAGCAATTACTTTAGGATGGAGCTCATTTAAGTTTCTTTCTCTGTAGAAGTGAGCCAACTCCAACCATTATTTCATTGCCAGATTGTCACAAATGCCCATACAGACCTTTCTGCCAAGAAGTAATAGGCAGTTGCTGACGTGATATTCAGTTCTTCTTCCATTAAAGAACCTATGCAGGGGAAAAAAATTGAACAATGTTAAAAGGTCTAAGGAAAATTTCATAGCCTACAATTTCCTTTCATTATGAACAGTTATATCAAATTGTTGAGCTGATGTAATATATAAAAAGAGGAGCTTTCAAGAAATTATCTCAAAATGTCACTAAAAAACAATGTCTGGGAAATAGCTTAAATCTTTTTTCTTCCACACCTATTTTAAATAGTTTTATTTCCAATTGATTATAATCACTGCACTGCAGACTGACACTGAAGTCTGCTTTAAACAAGTCATTTTATATCCCCAACAATTTCTTTGTGTCATCATCTCTTTTAGGACTGGGTTGTTAGTGTCCAGGGAAGGATAAAAAAAATATTTTAAAGAGAGAACAGATGCAGTAGTGAGAGCAACCCATTATGGTTGTGCACCTGCATAGAGAAATCAAACCCAGCCAAAACCAGTTTTGAATTGGAGTCTTATTTTTTGGCAGTGAGATGAGGCCTTGGTTTGTTTTCAGCTATACCCACCCTGCTCCAGCAGAGTCAGCAGCAATGAGAAGGCTCCAGCTGCAGGTTCTTACAAGGGGCTGCAGTGGTGGGACAAAGGGTGGTGGCTCTAAACTGACAAAGGACAGCTTTAGATGAGGTGTTGGGAAGAAATTCAGTGCTGTGAGGGTGGGGAGGTGCTGGGATGAGTAGTGCAGAGAAGCTGTGGCTGCTCCATCCCAGGTTGGATGGGGCTTGGAGCACCCTGGGATGGTGGAAGGTGTCCCTCAGTCACCGAGCACACACATTAGGTGCTCATGAGACCAGGCTGGGCTCAGCTGCAGGAGAGAAATGAACAAAAAGCAATATATTTACATTGCACGGTGCCTGTTTAGTCAGCTGCACCAACCCATAACAATGAAACACAGCAACAGACAAATGCCATCAGTTCACAGAACTAAAGACAGCTGGGGAAGGGGAGGGGCTGGGGTGTTGTGGGGTTGTTTTCACATTACCATAACATACATCAAGTGCTTTAAAAGACACCACTTTCAGCCAGGAGCCTGATTCCATTACAAACTCACAGAATGAAATGTAGAAACTAAAACGACAGGACTGAGAACAAAACCTTTTGTGGAAAACAGGCATAGGAGATGTGGAGTAAGCACTGGTAATGGCTGTGCCAGCTCCTCTGTGACACTCTGATGAGTGAAGAAGGTTTTGTCTGTTGAGGCAGTAGCAGCAGATGTTGGCAGTTTTATAGCAAAGCAGTCTCTTTTTTGTGCACTTAAATCAAAATTGCTAACACTCAGCAATACATGAGGAGTCTAGGTGACTCTTAAATGTAAAGATGGAGTTAAATAATACACAGATCATAAATAAAATGAAGCCTTAGCTATGAAAGTGCCATTTAACACATCACACTTCACTTTAGTAGTAAAATACTGTGAAAAATTAATGTAAATAATACTTACATTCCACATTGTAGCACTTGCTTTTCATGCTCCCATTTGCACCAATCTCTTTAGAATTGGTTTGGGCCCTGGGTCAGCACAACAGGCCACATCTTACCTGCTTTGCTGACCCATCATCTCACAGGGCCTAAGTAATACAAACCATTTTTTCTGAGATGGATGGTGATGATAGCAAAGGGTTTTCCATGGCTTCTAGGTCTGACTGTAGGGAAGTGTGAAAAGATGGCCTGGGGTGAACTTAGAGGAAGCTGAGAAGTTATGTTTGCATCCCAACAGTACAGAAACTGGAGGGTAAAATGCAGTTGCTACTCCCTGGCTGGAATATGGTTGGATTTTTCAAAACCATTCCACAGTGAGGCCCCACACCCAGAATCTGCAGCCAGAACCTCCTAAGGGAGGGTGGAATGAAGGGTGGGGTGGGTTGGAGACACCTGGCCAGGCTCTGTAGAAATCCTTGCAGGGAGGGGAGACATGGAGCAGCTTCCAGTACCTGAAGGGGCCACAACAGAGCTGGAGAGGGAGCTCTGACAAGGGCATGGAGTGTCAGGACATTGTGAGGGTGTTGAGACTGAAAGAAGCTGTGGATGCTCCTTCTCGGGAAATCTTCAAGGCCAGGCTGGATGGAGCTCTGAGCAACTGGATCTGGTGGAAAGTGTCCCTGCCAACCCAAACCATTCCATAGTTCCATAAAATATGTTTTTATCCTTCCCTGGACACTAACAACCCAGTCCTAAAAGAGATGATGACACAAAGAAATTGTTGGGGATATAAAATGACTTGTTTAAAGCAGACTTTGATAAAAACCCAAACAAGACAAAAACTCTTACCTCAGAAGAGGAAGATCCCTGGCAACAGCTCAAACAGGATCAACAGGCAACTTCTGGGCCTCACTGCATTTTTGGGCTCTGCTAAACCACTGTAATGATGCAAATACAACAAATATCTTTCATACTCCCCAGCTCATCAAAGAACGTTTCAACACATCTACATATCCTTCCCCCACACTCTCCTCTCTGACTGCAAACATTACAGCACTAAAAATGGGTAATTT